GGAGTATAGACTAAAACCTGAGAATCTCAGGGGTTTAACGATACATATAAGACATCTATTTGATGTTCCTGATTCGAGAAATTGATATAAAACTGTGTCAAAATTATACCAAATCGTATATATATGAGATTTTGTATAAGATTTGGGGTATTAAACAGATCATATTCAACAAATATGCAAAAAATATGAAAATGAATATATCCCACGGAAGCCTGAGAATCTCAGATTTGCTCCTGTTATAATTTTTTAATTTTCATTTTGCATTTTTAATATAATTGATAATATTATTACATAAAGTCTGCAATGCCATTGGTGGAAGTTCTGGTGACATAATACGGACAGTATTATGTCACCAGAACTTCCACCAATGGCATTGCAGTATCGTTGTCCATGTCTCAGTCTGTATCACGAGACCAGTATACTGCACTGCCATTGGTGGAAGTTCTGGTGATGAAATACGGACTATACAGACTATATGTAAATATTATCAATGATCAATTTTATCAATTTTATCAGTATTATCAATCTCAGGCTTCTGTGGGATTTAGTCATTTTCATATTGGTTGCGTATTTATTGAATATAGTCTGTTTAATACCGCGAATCTTATACAAAATCTTATAAATATGTTTTGGTATAAATTGACACAATTTTATATCTATTTCTAGAAAGATGTCTTATATGTATCTTTCAATGCCTGAGATTCTTAAGTTTTACCCTATTTCCCCTTTCATTTTTCCTTTACAGTCCCTAACCATTTTGTTTTGAGGAGCACTGTATGTTTATGATGACTTTTCAAAAATATTCAGCGTTTCACAAAATGAAGTGGAAAATGAAGACGATTTGTATTAAATATTTAGTGCATTCCAAAACTAAATACTAAACATTGGCAACTTTTTATAAATATGAAGTGCTCCCCATAACAAAATGGGAAGACAACTTTTCTATAGCGTACTAGCACTGTAAATTTATGAAAAGTTTTCTTCATTTTCATTTTATTTAGGGAATCATGTATATGGTTTGGAAACCGTTTTAGTTTGGGGAGCACTGTATCTTTATTAGAAGTTGTCTTCACTTATTATTATTATTTTGGGAAGCACTGAATATTTAAAAAAGTTTTAAGTGTATCTTTATGAGAAGTTGTTTTCATTTACATTACATTTTGAGAAGCACTGTGTATTTTGAAAAGTCGTCAATGTTTAACATAAAATTTTAGGAAGCCCTGTATATATATGTTGATTTGTCTTCATTATACTGCAGGAAATGCTTCCCCTTCCCTCTTCCCCGCTCATAAAAGAAAAATGACACCTCCCTCCCCACTCCTCCACCCTCCCCATGGGGGGCAAAATGTTAAAACTGAAGTCAGGAGCGTTGCAAAATTATAAAATTAAAAAGGGAGGAGTAAATGGTACTTGGTACATACAGCCCCACTATTTGTTTCTGAATTTCGTCCAAACTTGTAACTTTTTACCCTCTCTCAGCTATATTTTCATCCAACCCCCTCCTAGTACAAAAATCTTTAGCCCCTAATTTGAAAAAAACACATTTTGCGTTACTCAAAACAATTTTCTAAATACTGTAAGATAGATAATAACTAATATTTAGGGGCAAATATATCACTGAATGAGAATATATGTAAAACGTTTTAAAGGTTTACTATTTTAAGCATCAAAACCTGCTCTCAAACTTTTGGCCTGTAAAAAACATTAAAAATATAAGCTTATTTATATACAAACAATATATTATATATTCATAACTATGTAGCAATTAGTTAGAGCAGTCTGTGTTTTTTATAAATTTTATACACATAAATAATTAGAAAAACTAGACAATACAACAAAACATTCAGTAAAATCACCTGAAATATAGAAATGTTAATGTTTCTGTACGCATATGTCATTGTTTTCAAGTAGTAATTTGATGTTCTTACAAAGGAAATAGTTTCGCTATGATATGTTTTTGATTAAATTTGTATACTTACATGAAATAAATAAACATTAAGTAAAATCTGCACATCCAACACCTGATATACATAAAGTGATACATTTCTCTACATATGTCATTGTTACAACAGATACAATTTAATTTCATTTCATTTTAGAAATGACAAGGTTAACCCTATCTCTGCTGGGGTACTTGAAAACCAGGATATGCTGGGGGGGGTTACTAGGAAATTACCGGATAAAGATATAAAAAATGCAGATTAAAAGAGATAATTCAGAGATAAAGATAAAATTGATCAGGAATACAGATGATCACCTGTAATCACTGGCAACTTCATAGTTCTAAATTTAACACAATACTAGTAGTAGTAACTAGTAACTACTAATTACTTTAACAAGGTTGCCAACCATAATGAATAAATATATACCAACTAGATATTAAAAGAAAACATGAGGAATCACCAAAAATACTCTAAAGTTTTTTAATTTAAACATCTTGACTTACACTGATTCTTATGTAATAATCATGTATCCTTGATAAGTTTTATTTGTTAAGCCTTTTACAGAATGAGAAAAACACTAGAAAAAGTTCAAATGAAATAAAATAATGAAATAAAAAAAAAGATTTGCAATTTGCAACCTTGAAAAAACTAGCCCGGCAGGAATTTAATTACCTTATAGCTATGAAAACACAATTAAGGGTTGGTAACTCTGCTTTCTTGTGTGCCTTTGCTACCGCCCCCCTCATCCACCCACACCTCCATACCCCTAAAAAAGTCAAACTAGAGGTATTACAAAGTCGCAAAGCCATACCAGTAATTTCACATAAGTTAGATCTTCTGTTTCTGCCTAATTCATAGGTTGGCAGGGTAGACCAGAAAACCGACTTATAGTTTAATGTTTATTTTCTTTAAACCAGTTCCTGGCCAGTCCTCCCCCCTCACCTACCTTTAGTATACAAACATACCTTGCTTCAACCTAGCATAGAGGTTTAGGTTGAAAACTGAAAGTTTAATTTCCATTTAGTTTGAAATCTTTTATTATCTACTTTTCTAAAAAGACATTGATAAAAAAGGATTTGAAATCCATTTATGCAACCAAGAAAGTTTTCTTCTTGTAAGTAAAACTAGAAGAGAGTTACAATATAGGAAAGTCGTACCAGGAATTTCTTTCTGATATTAGGAATAGAGGGACGTGCATATGTACTACCTTTTTTAAATTTCTCGACCCCCCCC